ATCATGTTTCCCAATATTTATCTTATAAAATTATTTTTAATACTGTTATCCCATGTGCATACTAGTTTAAATAATATATGATTCAAAGTGTACACTTTAATTTTCATATTTTTTTGGAAAAAATATTTCCTTAATGACTAAATTAATTTTTTAGTTAAAAAGTCTCACTTACTATTTTTCATTTATCCTACAACTCTTTATATATACATAAGTCGGGTGCTGACACTGGTCGACCCGATCCAACCCGTGGATTTGTTCAGCGACCGTCAAAACAGCAGCTATTCAAACAGAAGCTCGGCATCTACCCCAAAAAAACTCCATAAATATACAAATTTTTCAAATTCAAGTAGAAATGGTGGCGAGAGATGTGGAGAAGATGGTGGCCGTGGGACTCGTTTGGGGCGCCACGAACGCCCTCATGCGCAGAGGCGCAGTCATCTGGGACCAAACCCTGAAATCCACGCCCCACTCGAACGCGTCCCATCTCAGCAAGTGGCTAAAGCTGGCGTTGATTTGGCAGTACACGCTTCCTTTCCTCATAAATCTGTCCGCATCCGCCGCCTTCTTCGCCATTCTGAGTGGGGCCCCCATTTCCGTCGCCGTGCCCGTCACCAACGCCACCACTTTTGCCGCGACCACCGTGTTTGGGATCATCCTCGGTGAAGAAACCCGCCTTGTCCCGGCCTTGTTTGGTACTTTTCTCATCGTTTTAGGTGTCTGTATTTGTATAATGTGAGATGCTGCTATCTTGATGGTGTTGTGTGTTTAGTTTATGGGCCGTTATTTGTTTACTCTGATATGCTTGAGTATGTGTTTGCTGAAATTACCCTGCGAATAATGAGGAGTGAAAATTCGGGAAAAATGTTTTGGTCTCCTTTTTTATGCAGTTCGCCTAATCACCTGATAGCTTATACAACACGCTTATTATGGTATTGGACATTGAAGTTTTCTACTTACTAGTCTGGGCATTTATAGTTTGTTAGCTGTACAGTCCATTTGGTTTCTGATCACTGGGGTGTGCGAACCGTGATGATAATGTAATATGTCCCTTGAAGTTGCATATATTATATAAAGAAGCTATTTTGATTAGACTAAAGAAAGATGTGGAAGAAAAAAAGAAACTGATATTTTGAAGTTCCGTCTTGTTCTTTCTTTTAGAAGTAACTAGAGTTCAACAGCCATTCTTTGTGAGATTTGTCTGATTTTTCCTGGTGATCTCAACTTGTTCTTCTCGTCATTTTGTTGATGCGTAGAATTTAGTTCATATTATATTAAGGGGTCTCACTCTGATTTGGCCTCTCATGGATAGTTTATTTTATTTGCTTATTATTGTGGTCTTGAGTGTGTGAGGTTTGTATCTTTTATTGCCGGAAAATTAGTACCTTCTACATATTTTTAGCAGCTGTTGTAAAAGATAAATGAGGGAAGTTAAACATGGCCTTCTTCCACATTACAGTAAGGAAGAATTTACGATATTTAGATGTAAAACATCAGATATCAGATGCTGTTACAATTGTAGACTGCTGAAGACTAGGTTAAAAGGAACAAGAACGGCATTTACTTCTCCACCAAGCATTTAACTTTGTCCTATGGCCAAAGGTTATTACAAAACAAATTTATGCATTTATATCCAAATGATAAGCCTATACTATTGGAAGTATAAATGGTAATACGGATGAATCAGTCAAAGCCACAAATATTCAGCACCAGTAAAAATCTCTACAATCAATCCACTAGTATTCGAAATTAATTTCTTATAATCATTCATCTCTATCAGCGTTTTAGAACTTCTGCTGTGTGTGCATAATGATTTAATGTAAAGTGTAGGATCTGACATTTATTGAAAATAATGAATATAAACCACTGTATTGAAAATATAGTACATGTATTTAGCTCAAATGAATAAGTCCATTCAGAGATCTTTGCTTAGAGAGCCTTTCTAGAAGTCCCTTTACATTATTAAAATATGTTTGGTAAAACTCATCTAGTAAAATGTATTCTAGATTGCAATGGGGTGCGGGTCAAATAAGAAATTACCAACTTTCTTGTAGCCCCCAAATAAAAGAGTGGGAAATGAGATTTAGAAACTATCATTTTTCACTTCACCTTTAAGCCTAAAAGTTCATTTAGGAAAGTGATTCCCTGCAGGAAATGTTTTTCTTGGTGTCCCGAAAATTTGATTAGGTGATGGGATATTATCACCTTGATGTATATAACTAATTGTAGTGTAGATATGTGAGGATTGTGCCTTGTTTATGGACAACGTTAGCAGGAAGCATTGAACTACTATGAATACCCTGTGCATTTGAATTGCATTTGTTGATACCAAAAATGCACCTAACGTAATATACCATTTGCATCAGCAATTTTCTTATTTCGTCAATCACGTTAGACTCACAGATTCATAAAGGCAAAGGCTGCTTTACTGAAATGCTCTTTTGGTTCACAGAAATAAACAGAAATTGAAGATTGCTCATCCACATGTCTGGTTGAATCTAATATTCTAGGTGTATAATGTTTAAAATGCTTGTATGATGAGTGACCATTTTCTATATTGTCCAATTAAATTTGAAAGTTACTTTTGTTGCTTTCATATAATGCACATTTTTCATGAGTTTCATTGCAGTCACGATGAATTGCAGTAGGTATTTCAGAAGAGTTTTGACTAAAAGTACTACTACACAAGTGTTGAAGATTTTAATTAATTAGTATTCAACTTTATGCAATACATGTAGGATTACTCCATAATATTAGAATTCTTTATATTAAAGGGTTTTTTCATGTTTATGATCACATGCTTCAGATTGCTGTTCTCTGTCACATTTTTTTTAATGAACTTTGGATAAGAGTTAGATTTCCGAATTGCTTTTAGGATGAATTTTTTGTGTAGTTGGATATGGAGTTGTAACTAAAAGTGTAACAGCCTGTCGAGTGTTTTACTTTGATGGTATTGAATGTTCTTAGAACTTGGAATGTGATCCATAGATCTCTCAGTAGTTTTTAGCATATTGATCCAGTTGGATACATGATGCTTTTAATTGTATGAATGGACTTTCTTTTCTGTTTTTGTTTTTAATCTTCAGTAGTGATGGAACAGTTACATCCTTATATAATAAAATGGGGAAATTTCATCTATACTGTACGATATTAAAATATTTGTAGATATGCCATAGTCAATTTTTTTATTGCATCCCTACCACATGGCAATTAATTGAAAATATCCTAAGATTTCAGTTACCAAAAACTAAAATACAGCATCCTTGATTTGTGGAGGATGTATTAAATTACCGATTTCCATTTAAAAAAAAAAAAACTAAAAATACACATATTAAGTCAATATATGCTACTAATTAGGAGTTTGTTGAGAAGAAATAGGAAAGATAACGAGAATGAATTTCAAACGACTATAACTATTTACAAATCCCAGAATCTTAAATACATATTTCGCTAAATCAGGTATTTTTGTGCAGGTCGAACTATTTTTCGTTTATTTTTAAACTTCGCATCGTGTCAATACCGTATATTAAACGTATATGTTCTGTTTCTCTCTCTCTCTCTCTCTCTCTCTCTCTCTCTCTTTTTTGTGTTATTTACATCTCGTGTTTTTTCTGTATACATAATATATACAGAATATATATAGAAGATATACAGAAAACATATAAGTCCGGAAAATATACGAAATAACCTGGTAATTTTATCTTTTCGTAATTCTCTTATGTTTCACTATTAGACTTATATACAGAAGATATACTTATTATATACTCAACATATACATATGATATATTCATTGATTATAAACGAAACATATACTAAATAACAATATATTTGTCAGGAATATATACAGAAGATAGACTAATTGTATACATAGGACATAAAAGAAAATACACAACAAATATATAGAAGATAAATCAATCTTGTCATTATATACAGAATATATACAGAAAATATACAAAAAACGCATTAGGGGCTACGTCTAATTTTGAATCAGATCTCGTTCTCATCGATGCCCATATACATACATATACATACAATTAATCCTTCCTGGCTTCATGTCCATTTTCCTCATTCTCATCTTCTCTTAAGTTCTGTCAACTCAAATAGCTTATATGAGGAAAAGAAATTGTTAAATAAACCTGTAATATTAAACTAAATCATATACATTAGCCCAGAAATTAATTCATTGATAAATAAATAAATAACAATTATAAATAAACTAAAATTAAAGGTCTTTAAAAGTGCTTTAAATTCTTTCTCAGCCCATCACGTTACCAAAGAGCCCCACCAAATCCTGCCTGTACGGCATGTACGAACGCCGCAGTACCTGCCGCTTCTCGCCGCCATCCCGATTGCACCACGCGGCTGCGGCGCCAGAATCACACAGCCACCCGCCGGCATTTCTCTAACTGCCTTCGTTTCGTCAGTCAGAAGGACGATACGGCTCTTGCTCCCCTTGCTCTGGCTCCTCCGCACGAGATCCTTCACCTTGAACCTCCACCGCTTCGAATTCCCGCCGGCGGAGACGCTTTTCTTACCCGTGCTCCACCGCCGCCTCCGGCTGCCACGAGCAGTAAAAAAAAAATACTTCCATGAACAATAACTTGGACACCATATGAGGAGAACTTGATCTCCGATTTTAAGGTTAATGAGGTGGAAAAGAAATCTCTTACCATATTATTCGGGGGTGATTTTTTTGGTAACTTATAGGTTTCTTTAATTAATGAATAAATTATTGTGGATAAGTTTTGTGGTATATCTGCAAATAAAACCTTAATTTATGATTATATTGCTATTATTTACATAAGATGTTTAATTATGCAATATAAATTGAAATGTAATGTGAAGGGGGTAATTTTCTCTAATAAAATTCCAGCTCTGGTAATATTGTCTTTTCAGGAGATGTGTATCATGTTTGGCTATTAGTTGATAGAGGATAACAGATATTGATTGTATTAGTGGTTGTTTCAGTTGTTTTGTAAATAACTATTTGGTACATAACAGATTGTATAGCCATTTCAAAAATTTATTTTGAATTGTTATTCTACGAATCTTCTCTAATCAAATAAAATTTTGCCAAACAAGCTAATTACTGGATTTGGCGGGTTAAACCTCTGAATGAGGTTCAATCTACTTATTATGCGCACCAATTCTAACATTCAATTTTTATTTTTTTTTTTTCCGGAACGACAAATTCTATTAATAAAATACATTTATAAGCTGCTAACTAGCCGACTAAAACAACTAATTTGTTGATTTCATAGAGAAAACTACAAGACGAGAACGTCTGTAGCCTAGAAACAACTAAACTGAACACACAACAACCTACAAAATAGCACTCTAAGATCCCACCAGTGAAGAATTTTAATTCCAATCTGGAGAATAGAAACCTAAAACAAAACACAAACACACGAAAAGTAAAAACTCAACCAAAATAACTAGATTATACTAAACTCATCTCCAACATTTGGAAAGACCGTAGAGTCGGCCCTGGAGACTCGTGCCATAACCCTCCCCATGCATAAATCGGGAGCCGCAACAACTCCACCACTAGAGGGATCTACCATCCCAATACACAAGGGAGAAGCCAGAAAAAGGAAAGACCAAGGTAACGAGACTCTGTAGCCGCCGCAAAGTGACAGACAACACTCGCCCCCGCAAGATCGTCGATAGGCCAACAGCCACCACCCCTGCCATGACACCTGATTGCAAATCGATAAACATCACCGGGAGGTGTAGAAACTGAAGCCTACCTAGAAAATTGCGGCCAGCCCGGTGTCGGCTCAGGCGCCGGACAACTTCGAGGGTTCGTCGGAAGCCAGACGAAGAAGAGGTGCACGCATAGGGCCGATCAAAGGTTTACTGTTTATGAAAATTGGGGTAGAAGAGGAGGGAGGAAGTTTNTTTTTTTTTTTTTTTTTTCACAAAACTGAAACAATAGATTTTTTAATGAACATTGGTCTTTTTGTTCCTTAAAGAATTGGTGATAATGCTAAAGCTATAGTAACACTTGGATATGTGTAATACTTTTTTCTTTTAAAACCGACGTTATTATTATCTATATCTATACTATTATAAAAGGACGAATAGTTTGTAAAAAATGAACTGCCTACAGAACTCTTACTTTGACATATTTTTAATGTCAAAATAGTAATACAATACTACTAATCCTATTTTATATTTTTAATTAAAAAATAAACTACCTAAAAAACTCTTATTTTGACATATTCTTAATGGCATATTAGTAATACATTAATACCCATCATATTTTATATTTTTACTGAATAACTAATACTCAATTGAAACCCTTGCCCCAAAATCCTCTGCGCAAATCGTCACCTCTTCAATCCGGTAAGCGTGTGCCTTCCTCGGCGATAGCGTGTCTCTGGCCAGCAGTCGCCTCTGACCGCTGGGCCCATCCCTGAAATCGCGACCCAGATGCTCCGAGCTTGTCTGCGACTTGCGATCTGCCCTCAATCGCCGACGGGCCTGCAATTGGTGGCGGAATTCTCGGTCGTTGCGGTGAGTCTCCGACTGGTTTGCGATGGGCAGTCTCCCCTCAGTTGCCGGTGTGTCTTTGTTCGTTGGCGGATTGGCTTCGATTGGTTGTTTGGCAGCGATTGGGGCTTTCCGGTAGGTTTTGCTTTTTCGGTGGGACTTCGGTCATTGGTCGTCGCAGGTCCACAGTGTTAATGGGTGAAGTGCGGTTTCCGTGGGTGGGGTGGGGCTCCGGCAGCTGCGGCATTTTTTGCGTCGGGGAGTCGGTGTCGACTCTGTTGGTGTGTCGGAGTTGAGGGCTGATCTGTCCCCCTGTTTCGGCTAGTGGTGTTAGACGGGCGGGGTTCTAGTGTTCCTTAACTCGGCTAGTGGTGTTAGGCGTGCTCGGGATGTGCTAGAGTGGGTGCGGTTCAGTTGTTCCTCCTGTTGAGGCGGGTTGTTTCGGAGTTTGGTTTGTGTTTCGGGCTCGACTTTTTGTATAGGCCTTGTGGCAGTTTCGGAAGCCGTCCCGAGACTTGGACTATTCTTTGTTTCTACTATTCTCCGTTGGTTGAGGCCAGCTGATTTGTTGTGGAAGGGCCTTGTGCGTTTTTTCTTTGTTTTGGGTTGTAGTAGGCTTGTGTTTTTGGTATGGGCGCTTTGCCTGTGTGTTCATGTCCTGTGTTTGTGGTTTGGGCAGTTAGCCCCTGTATGCCCTAGTGTCAACTTATTATCTTATTGGGATCAGACACTCAGGTATTATCTCGTTGGAATCTTTTAGTAGTTTTTGTTGTAGTTTGAGTAGTTGATTTGTGTGGTTGCGAGTTGGTTATTCTAGCTTTGCTAGATTAGGCTCTAGGCGATCCTTTGGATTTGCCTCCCAGTTTTATCAGTCCTTGGTTGTACTATTCAGCCTTTGGCTGCTTTTCTTCGCACTTTGTGCGGTTTTTATTTATATAGTATCTCATACTCAATTAATTAAATACAAATACACGAACAATATATACCACATCTCACAAAAATCAACCTCAATATTCTCACAGCTTTTTTTATTCCTCACGAATATGCTTTCTTCAACAATCATCTCAAATTGCTTTCTTTCATATCAACCCAAAATCAACGCAAACAACAAAGTTTTGAAAGGAGATAGAATTGATGTTTTAAAAAATGTTCTTATTTTTAATATAATTTCAATGGTAAAATTGCATCATATTTCATAATTCTAATATATAAAATTTATTAAAGAAAATTGATCCTACAAAGACAACATAATAAATACCTATAAAGAATCTAAATATTTTCATCTATTTATTTATCTATCTACAATTTTAACAAATCATAAATCTTAGTAAAAAATGACAACTTAACTGAGGGTTAACTTCTATATAATAAATAATTCTATAGATACATACTTGACTTTAATTAAGAGAAGATACCTAAAATTTTACTAAATCATGCACAGGTGAAATATATACATAATCTAACAAACTAGAAAAATAGAACAATTCATTTAATTACTTCATTATTTAAGAAAATAAACTCTTTTATTTTGAATTTGAATAGAAATTACACTTTAGTCTTATAGGATTAAATTCCGATCCAAAAAAAAAATTATTATTTATTTGTTTGTTTGTTTACCTTGTGTGTTGACAGTTGACACAAGAGGAGAGTGTATGGGTCGAGTATGGGTTTGCTAGGACCTATATCTGCCTGGAAAACCCTTCACTGACCCAACATATTTACACCCTTATGTAAAATTCGGTACTAATATGACATGATCTCCAAAAATCAAGTCTTGTTGTAGCGCCGCTTTCGTTTATTAGAATATTCTGTGATTTATGTGATTATTTATTTGTATTTGTTTGATCATTGCCTTCGGTTTATTATCGGTTGCTCGTTTATTATAAATTGCTCGTCTTTACCTTGTTTTATTTATCTGATATATTATTAAATTGCTATGTGCCTAATTGTATTTAATTATTATTTGGTTTATTTTATTTATTTTGTGATGTGTGTGATTGGTTAGAATTATTTTAGTTATTAGGATTTTCGTTCGGCATTCTCGGTTCAATCGCGTAGGTTTAAATTTCGAACCTTTGTTCCGATTGTTCGACCCCTTATAAGACATTTTGTCCGAGCCTTATTATTATATTTGGCCCAATTATGAGTTGAATTCGGCCCATTTGATCCATCTAATACGACCCAATTGCTAGCTAAAACCGGCCCCTGTGCTTAAGAAGAATCGGCCTAAACAGCTTGCAAATTCGGCCCACCAAGCCCTAATTGAATATTAAGGCCCTAATTCTGCAACTCCAGTTTCCCTTTCGCTCAATCCTGTCTCTCTCAATCTCTTGCCTTGTTCCTCCAGCTGCCAGCGTTGCACAGTCGCGGCCACCAGGAGTCCTCGCTGACGACCAACCGCCGCACGCCGCCTTACAACGCGAACAACTGCAAGCCCCGACTAATCGCTGCTGAGCCGTCGCGAGGCCGGAATCCGCGACAACCGACCACCATCGCGAGCACCGTGAATTGCCGATTCCCTTCGCCGGCGTCCTCCAGCGTCTCCGTCGATTCAGCGAGCAGCCCTCCGACGTCCGACCTCCGGCGACCAGAGCTTCGTCCGTCGAGCCGCGACCCTGTACGCACACAGCGGCGAGCTTCTTTCTCTGCAGTCATCCGAGCCGGGACGAGTGCTCTATCTGACGACCGTCCCTGGACCTCGATCTCCGACCCCGACCGACGACCTTCGCAGCACCACAGAGTCGCTCGAGCCGTCTGGTTCTTCCGGTGATTTCGTTCCTTTTTCTCCGATTCAAGGTATTTTAGCTAACCCAACTCTTGAATCTGATTGTTGTTGGAATTGAAGATTGGGATTTTGATTTCGTCTGGCCGAGCAGAGCCCTGAATATTTCTAAATTTCGTACCTCTGTCCAAAACTGAATCCTTTGGACCGGACTTCAAGGATGTTATATATTTGATTTAATTGTTATCTACTCCTTGATGAGTTTATCAGTAGACCAGCAGATATGCCCACTAATTTCTCTGTTTAATTGACTTTGTGCGACCGAAAGGGTGATGTAGAATTTATATATATATATATATATATATATATTGCCGTTGTTCTATTTTTTTCCGTTTTATCATCTCGTGATTGAGTCGGTTTTCTGATTGTTCTATCTTTCAAATCCAGTAGGGTTCATTTTGTCAATGTCATTGTCTTGTTGTGCAATTTGTAAGATATCTCACAAATTTCATGATTTATGTGGAAAAGAATTGGAAGACACGGATTTTGGGACGTAGGTTTTATTTCCATTTAGATCAGCTTTTTCCTGGTTGCCTTTCTCCCTCATTCTCATCATTTGTTGGCAACTAAATCAAAATTCAAAATTTGCACCTTAGTTGTATGCTTAACAATTCCGTTTCTCATCTGACTAGGTATGATAAAGTGGATTCTTGTTATGTGTGGCTCGCACATTAATGAAGAATTCAAAATTTGCATGATTTATGTAAATTATGATTTTTGGATTCGGCCTCTATGTGGTTAATATGCCGAGGTTTGTCTAGTATTTTAATCATGTTTAAACTGATGTTTTAGAAGGTTATGAGGCTGAAATTCTATCTTGGCATGTTTAGATCTATTTAATATTAAAAGGAGTTTATGTGATATGATTTCGGCTTATTTGATGTTGAAGTGGCTGAGTCCTAATTGGTATTATTCTCATGCTGTTCGGGTGATTTTCAGAGGATTTATAAGGCTATGTTGGAATTGGCTTTGCATGAGTGATGAAAAAAGAAATAAAAAAAAATTAGGAACTTACTTTATCTGCTTAAATTGCCTTTACCTAATTTAAATATCTGCCTTACCTCCTTATTTGCCTTACTTGTTTGATTAATTGTTTGTTTGCCTTGCCTGTTTTTGTGCGTTAATCAGCCAAATAAAAACCAATAATAATAATTAAACCCTAATTTGTAGATTAAGAGGAGTCGAGCCTTCGCCCTTGTTTGCTCGTGCATCCACCCTCTGCAGTACCAGGTTGCAGTACCACGTGGGTGGCGTGTATATTATTCTTTATAATTGCTTGACTTGATAATCAATGTATGCATGTGAACCGTTAGTCTATGGAAGGTTCTCACATTGATGTTGTGCCGACGTTCTCTTACTTTTAGCCTAGGTTCTCCCGTTGATGTAATGCTAACGGTTTAGCTCCCGTTGATGTTGTGCCGACGGTTTAGATGTGATCACATGAGTGTAGGGTTGGTAGGAGGTAGACTAGTCGATTTGTGTCCATGCTGCGATTATGATTTTAAGTCATTATATTGAATATACTGCATGATATTCCCAAAGTAAGCATGTTGGCTGCTCACTCCCACTATTTCCCCCCTTTTAGGTTGAGCTGGTAGCCGCGGCGGGGTCATATTTATTTGTTGTTTGTTATGTTATTGCTTTCGCCTGTTTATTTTTATTGCTTTATCTGCCAGACATGTTAAATTATTGACATTGGAGACTGGATTGTGTATTCGGATATTATGCATGCTTTGACTATGAATTTGGATATTTCTTATGTTTGAAATTATTATTATGAAGCATGTTTATTTGTTTGGCTTGAGTTGTGAATATGGGATGGTTGATTCCCGTTGTTTAAGTATGGACTTAAATTGTTTAAATGAGATAAGTTGAGTAATGCCCATTAAATAAATTTCTAAAAATGATTTGCGAAAATTTAACTCTGATTTTTGAAAAATATTCGGTGTTTTTCTCTTTTAAAATAACGGGGCGTTACACTTGTAATGTAAATTTTCCATTTGTTTTATCAATAAAAAAGCATACCCCTTTCTCTCTCATATAGAAGGTTTTTTTTCACACTGCTGTGCTCTTTCATATCTGTTTTGTCATATAAATTTGTGGCTGAAATTTGTGGGTTAGAATATAAAGGTTTATTGGATACAGTATCTAAAGTCATACTCTGAGCTCATTTGAAGAATTTTTTAGGATTCTGCAATGGGATTTAGCAAAACTGAAGTGAATCTGAGAAGGTTACTTGCAGCAGCCCCGCAGCAGCATAATCAAGCAAAGCTCGTGCATGTATGCTCTCCAGTTCTCTGATCCATAGTTATATCCAATATATGTTTTGCTTTTTTATATAACTGTTCATGTGTTCTGCATACACTGTTGGTTAATGTCAGGAGATTCCGAAGAAAGGACAATATGTTTAATATTATTATGATGTTTTTCACTCGATTTATATGCTTTTCGGTTTCTACCCATATTTAGTACAACTTTTTAATATACTTATTTGGAAATGAGTAATTGTTCTCTTGTTGTAACTTTACAGTATGTTGCTACACTTAGAGAGCTACTGGAGCAACTCGCCGAAGAGAGGATATCTGAAGGTCTTCCGAGGTTGGGTTGCTTTTCCTTCTGGGATTTCTAATTGTTTTTTATTTACGACTCTTGATTTTGTGTAACAAGTTTGGAAATTTCTCCTGGACTCCGTGTGTTCGATAAATTATATCATTTTTGCTCTGTTATGGCTGCTTATAGCGTTTGCTAAATTACTAATTGACCAGGACAAAGTCACTTCCCATTTCTTGTTGTTAATGATATGAATAGACTTTGTAAAATTTCAAAGGCTATTGCTTATATCTTTTGGTATTTTATCGAGAGTCATTTATGATTGATGTTCTCATTGGTTTTATGAATAATTATTTATTAATACATGTTTAATGGTGTATTTGGCTGATATAGATTAATACAAGTTTAATGGTGTATTTGTTTGATATAGACCTCCAAGATAACATAGTATCATATTGTATGATCAATGAGGGAGTCTATATGGAATTATGAAGCTATGTCTTTCACTTGAACTCGTTATACTTGACAAGTCTAAGGAAGTATTCTTGCTTAGTTGATTGTTATAAGCATGCGCGTGATCTCTATTTCATTATTTGATAGCGACAGCTATAATTAAAATTGACCCTAATAATGCCTTTAAAAATTGTTCATTTCATTTATTGATATGCTCAACAAAAGTTCTTTATGTAGCTTAGTCCTGAGAGCTGTCCAGTGGTGTCTTTCTGCTTTTTCTGTCATCTTTATTTGAAAATATCTAACTGGATGCAGTCCATGAATTGAGTATCATTGCTTTTCCAATTTCAACTCATTTATTGTGGCTCTGTCTACAGGGTTTCAAAAGGTCAGTTAAACGAATATTCCGAGAAAATTGAAGCGATAGCTGCCAAACTGGTGGCCACTGAGGTGCGTTGGGTTATGACTAGCTTGCTCTGTTTTTTTTTTTTTTTTTTTTTTTTTTTTTTTTTCTTTTCTTTTTCTGTCATTTGCAGGTGATATGTGTTTTAGTCCTACAAACCATTGCTCATTGATTTATGCAACTCTTTGGAATGTGGAATACGTTTGGTCTATTAGTGCACAGGTTATTTGGAAAGACAGTAAGAAAATGGCTTTTCTTCTAGGACATTTAGATGAATATTATGATTTCTTAGAGGACAGAATTTTCGTTCGACATAAAAATAAACTTTCTGTACAACAGAGTTTAGTAGAGTAGTGTCTGTTGTAGTATTGGTTTTCTCCCTTTTTAACTTGAATATCGTTTTCCCCCTTCAACGAATGATGTATATTTTGAAGAAGAAATAATATCCAGGTGNTTTTTTTTTTTTTTTTCTTAGAAGGCTATCATAATCATTTTACTTTTGTTAAATTCTCTAGTCTCAAATTGTGCGCGGCAAAGTTTTAAATGGCGCTGCTATGGTGAGAGGCGCCAGATGCAATCTGAAATTACATTTACAACCTCCTATGACTGCCAGCCGGACACAGCCGCGTGCTGTGTTGCGGTCTTTTTCAGTTTCTTTTCTTTTCTTTTCTTTTCATTTTCTGTTCCTTTTCTTTTGGCGTTTCAGTTTCTTTTCCTTTCGTTCTTTATGTGACGTAATGCCGACAGATCAAGGCTAGAATCGTAGGTCAATGGTCTGCTTTCAAGGAAAAAACATCCATTTCTTTTCTGTTTTACTTGAAAACTATGGTGCTTAGAAATCAAAATTGATCTCTTTCTTGGTCTTTGGTCAGTTTTAGGTTCAATATTTTATAATGTAAAGAATGTAAACAATTTTCTGCACGACTTCGAAATGAGTGGCTCCTCGAGCTTACAGCTGGAACATAAAGACATTTACTTTTTTTTTTCCCCAATCATGGTTATGGAGATTTTAAATTCTAATGGTACTCGCCTCTAACCGTGCATTTTTTTTTTTGTTTGGAAATTCCAGTGCAGTACACAATTTCCTGAGGAGCCTTCTCTTGACAGTAAGGTTCTGGAGCCCCCTTCAGTATCAGCGGAAGAAGGTGTAAGTTCTCCCAGAGGACTGAGGAGGAGATTTGTGTATGTTCAATGAACATAAATTCTATGCACCCTTTTACAGTATTATGATATATAAAATGAAATTATGACCAACATTGACTTTGTGTTAAGGCAGGCCTCCATCATTTGAAAGAACTCCCAACACTGTTGAGGATTCTTCGAAATCTGTCAAATTAGATGCTGCAGCACAGGCTCATATTGAGAAACACAGGTATTTATTTTCACACGATCGAATATTGTAGTGGTCTAGTAAACATCAGGAAATTGTTAATGGTTCGGGATGTCTGATTATGAATGTTGTCTTTTTTCTTTTGATGTTTATAGTCTGAATATGAATAAAACTTGGATATTGGTACAAATAGGACCATATTCGTGTGATGGATTTGCTGCATAAATTTGGTGGCTCACAATGGCAAAAATATCGTTTTCTAGAAGAAATAGTGTAATGTTTTTGGATTTTATGTCTCTTTTATGAAAATCTTTGCGTTAGTCACCATGTTGTTACATTTAGAGTTTGGTTTTTCTCATCGAGACCAATGTTGTTACAGATGGAGTTTACAGTTTTTGTCATTGGGCACGTGTTTTTAAATTATTTATTGTTTGTTCTGAGCTTCATGCTACCTACTAATTTGATTATATACGTTGTTTCTTTACAGAAAGCTACAAGAAGATTTGACTGACGAAATGGTTGGTTTAGCACGGCAACTCAAAGAGAGTAGTCTTAGGATGAATGAATCCATCAAAAACACTGAGAAGGTGAGTATAAACTTTTGTCTTAAGCCACACCTGAAATGAATCACGCCTTCGAGTCGTATGATTCAATCCCCTTCCCTTGGTTTTGCAGCAATACCTGTATTTGAAATTATCTTTTTAATGGTTGACATTCGGAGGTAGTTGTATTCTCAATGATGCATATATTTATTCTTGGCCACAATTGTTTGTTTTTAATCACGATAGATTCTCTTATCCGAGCATCCTAATTATCTTCCATTACAGTAGTTTTCGTTTGTGCAACCGAAACTTTTATTTATTGTCAGCATACCAATTAATTATCCTTTACATTTTAGATCCTTGATTCGACTGAGAAAGCTGTTGAACACAGCTTAGCAAGTACTGGGCATGCCAACACAAGGGCAATGGAGGTTTTCTCGCAGAGTATGAAGACATCTTGCTTTACGTGGCTGCTGATCTTTGTCATGACATGCATATTCGTAATGGTGGTACTACTTATCCGTGTTACCTAGGCTAGCCACTTGGCTTATTTGATTTTATTTATTTGTGTCTAAATTACTCGAATAAACTTGATAAGTAGGTGTGGCTCTAAGTAGACCTCTAACAAAGTACTCATACCAATTTTTATTTAGGGGAAAAAATGTGTAACCTCCAAAACTATGCCATTTTTGTGAGATTGTCATATGAAATTTTAAAATGGACAAATCTGGTATACAGAATTGACAATTTGCCTATAGCATTTAGAAACCCTAACATAACACAAAATGTTTTTAACTCAATTAACGATATATTTTGTGTCGAACTTTGACTATTGATTCACCGATAATTGATCAATAAGAATATAGACAATAAGTTTGCATAGAAAAAAAATTAGTTTCAAATTTATCAAGATATTTAGTTTCAAATTTATCTCGTTAGACGCAATGAGCTTTAAAAGTCTTAAATTAATTTACACGATTCAAAATTCATTGTAAAAAAGTTAAACGCTTTTTGTCATATTAGAGTTCTATTTGAGAAGTAAATTGTCAATTTCGCATAATGTAAAAAGAAATGTTAAAACTTTATGTAAAAAGCTTAAAAATTGGTATATTTGGGGGTTAAAAACATTTTAGCCCAATTTTCATATGAAGTGAATCCAAGAGCTAGCCAATTTTTTGAGGAATAATTACCCTACAACCCACCTAAATAAAAAATAATTGCATATATATAAACTATTATAATAGTTTATTAGCAAAAAATAAGCAAATTGATCAAAATATTTGCACATATATGATATATGAACAATTGTCGTCCTATTCCTTTCATTTTCTTGTCCCTTCCTTTCATTCCTTCTTTCTCACTTTTTTCTTCTTCCCTTCCATTTCCTGTTCTCCATTTTATCCTTCTTTCTCTGTTTTTTTTTTTTCTTCTTCCCTTCCGTTTGCTCTTCTCCATGTACAATATATACACAACTATGTCCTTCCCAAAATCTGTTCTCCAATTTTTTCTTCTTCCTTCCATTTTCTCTTCTTCATAGACGATATACACACAACTATGTACTTCCCCATTTCTCTTCTCCAAATTCTTCCTAAAACCCAACCTCTTCAATTTATCTCCGAAAATTCCCAAATTTCTTCCAATTCCAATTCGCCGCCTACCTCCAAAACGCCATCCTCCGCCTGCGAGAGTATTGAAAGCAACGTCGTTTCTGACTCGACTGTTTTAGAATTGTGATTGGTCGGAAAAAATGAGTATTTTATATATTTATTAACGTATTTTATATACTTAATTTTATCGCACTTATATATGACTTATTTATTTCTTGGATGGATTATAGTGCTATGATATTTTTATGTTTTATTTTTAGGATATTGAAGTATTTTCGTGGGCAACGTGACACTAAATAAAATTTCAGCACGCGCAGTATGGAGATACCTCATACTCGGCCCAATATAGGCCACATAATTTGGGCCCAATATTTATAATCAAAAGTCACTTATATTATTGGATTTGGGAAATACTTGCAGCCACTCATAAAAGAAAAGTTATTCACGCAGAGATTTGATGGGCCAAAGATTTTCATGAGCCCATTTATCAAAAGACAAGAGTGGGCCCACTTGGGGCTTATTTCAATTGACTAAGCCAAACAAAAAGAACACATGTGCAGGGCCCTGAGAGTTTTTTTCTTGGAAGAGGATTTATTTGGAGTACCACGCAACCACCAAAACGCAAGCCTAGGAGAATTGGAGAGCAATAGAGAAAAAAAAAAAAATTAGCGCAGCAGACGGGAGCAAACCGGCCGATCGCATAGGAAAGCCACATCCGCACATGAAAGGGGACAATCTTATTCCTTTTCTTTTATTATATATTACATTAGAGTAAATTTTATTTCTCGTTCTAGGGATGTCAAACCTTATGTACTTCGCTATATCTAATTAATTACAGTGATTGATTATTTTGCTATTTTTATGAAATTGCTTGTGTTATTTTGTTTGATCAACCATGATGTGTTTGATTCTATTTATCAGTAATGCTAAGGAGCCAACTGTTGGCTCTGTTACGGAGCCAACAAATGGGACAGTTCCATGTGGGGTTGTCTCACATGGCTCCAATGTGGGACAGCCCCACATGGAGCTGTCCCATTGGCTGTTGGCTCCATAACGGAGCCAACAGTTGGCTCCTTAGCATTATTGTCTATTTAGGTTGATCACCTATATAAGATATCTCATGTTTAATGCTATAATTGAACTTGGAATCCAAAATTGTTTTTGAGTTTAATTCGTAAGTAGCAACTGAAAGCTGGTAACTGTCGGGGATAACACAGTCTAACTAAGTGAACCGCGCGGTTGCGTTTACTATTTAAACTAGCATATTTTTCTAGATCCTAAAGCGATTATTGCATTAAATCTAGAGAGTATGTTCCAGAATGTCCAATAATCCAAGTTTAATCGAGGAGTCTCTCGATTAAATTACCAATAATGAAAAATTCGGGTAGCAGGACGTATTGCTATCTAGTGCTAGTAATTCCATGAGATATTGAAGTTTGATACCATAATTACTTAAATGAGTCGGTCGAGGGTGTAGACGAAACCGTGAACTACAAATTTCTCTTAATTTATTTTATTTTATTTTTATTTCCTGTCTTTGGGTTTTTATAATTTTAGTTAGTTTAGCTATTAAATTCAATTCTCTCCATCTTTTATTGCTTTCTTAATTTCAATTAATACAAAAAATATCACAATTTGATTCACACTCCTCGTAAAATCGACCCTTACTCCCCGCTAACTAATCTTACTCCCCGCTACTATTAGTTAGTAGAGGTTAGTTGAGTTCTTAAATGACAAAAAAAAAGGGGGCTTTTGCTCTTAAAGGATAAAAGGTTTTCTGTTCCTTCGAGTGGATTACTTATGTAATAAATTTCCTTTAAGTTCTTAAAANTTTGCTTCACAACATACTGTCGTAATTTTCATTTATCTCCATAATTGAGTCCTTGTACGCCTGGAGTAGAAAATGAACAAAAATTCTACTAAGCAGCTTCTGAAGGAGTCGTCTGATAACTTGTAGTTCAACTTCTTGCGCGGCTAAAGTTGAGTGGTAAGGAGCCGGCCGTAAGGGATACTGACCTTCCGACTAGTAGCATTGCAACACATCTAACTCGGAGCTCTCTTGGTAAAAAAAAATGTACGATATTATAGAGCTATCTCGGAGCAACAATTAGGAAAGCAATGCTCAAATTCACACAATAAATTACGCCCAAATCAAAATGATAACTCGACATCCGAATCTTAAAATTACAAACTATATTTCTGGATTGACATATAAAAGGTGATAAAATAAACTTATGCACGAACCATTTGATCCATACAAGGGATGATCTTGACAAAGTTAAGAGTGCAAATGTCAGGTTGGTTATGGTTATTGAGGATGGGGAAGATTGATGTTATCTCCATTAAGAGTTTCCTCGGGTCCATGGCTGCAGAAAATAGAAAGCTTATCAAAACAAAACAAAACAAAACAAAAAAAATAAAAAAAATAAAAAAAAATCACTCATCAAAATGAGTCATAGAGGTAGAAGTAGGAACAAAGGTAAAAACCTGAGGTAGCTTAAGGCAGACATTCTGTACAAGCAGGTGAACACCAATATGTGCAACCCAATTGTGTAGAAAAATGCGAAGGTTCTTGCATACCTGCAAAGGTCACGGGCAGTGGATATTCATATTATAGAAAAATGCCACCATTGATTTCACAACATCTTGATCTATTTTCAATAATTTGAATCTACAAAATATACATAGTGAGAGCATACTTGTTGCCGAGAAGAAAGCGTCCACTGCTGAGAGTGATTTTATCCCTCAAACCGAGCTCCTTGTACCTTTGATCTCTTTCCNCAGTGAGATTTCAACATCAGGAGAACAAGAGCATTCTAAACAAAAAGCATCAGTTCCTTAATAAATGAAATCTCAATACATCACTAGAAAACAGCAATGTAAAAACTGTACTATGTCCGTATGTTGTATATCTTATGTAGATGAATACTGAAAAAAAAAAAGGATACAGCAGAAATTTGGTCAATCAACCACAAGAAAAATATGAACAAGAAGCTGCATAAAGCAATAATTTATAAAAACTGATCACTTATAGAAAGGAATCATTAAAAATAACAAATCCACCACGGAATCACTCAAAAAGAGATACAAGGTTGTTCACCTTCTTTGAGAATGCTGCAAAAGGATTAATATCATCTTCATATATTTTCTTATACTTGGATTCAACATCAGAACTAAACCCACTCTCCAGATCTTCAGCATACTGAAAATGCAGAGACAACTAAGTTAAAACAAAGTAAGTATGGATTAAAATTATTCTTTTTGCATCTGCAACTAAGCACCTTCTTTGATCCTCTGGATATTACTTTCTCAGCATTGTAGTCCTGAACATAACGAATTTTTCCATAGAGCTTGACATTGTCTGCTTTTGTTTTTTCAAGCTCTGTTGTCAGCATTCCAATCCTCTCATTCAGCTTCCGTATTTCCTGATATAATGATTAGGCAAACAAAGCACCTTATTATTGAAATTTCCCTTTTTTTCGGCAAAATTAGCCTACTGTTGGTAAAACCAATAGTCAAAATGACATCCGATTTGCAACTGGGGACCAAGTTTGCAACTTGACCAATTCATGCGACCAATTTTACAACTTTCTCCAAAAAAATATTAGATTTAACAAACATTTCAACAAGTTCTATTTTGACGTTTGAGTTTACTGTATTTAATGGGTAACTGGTACTTTGTTCAAATTCTTTTACAACATATCATCGTAATTGTACAATTTTACTATTAAATTACAATTCTGTTTTCCATCATTTACTCTTATTCCAATAAATAGGCTTGCTAGAAGTAAGGCTAGTCGAAGAACATTGTTACTACACTTGAATAAGGTGAAATAAATAATGTTAAAAATTAGATTGCATAGAAATTTAAAGTGTAATACAATTGAAACTCAAGAAAGTATGCAATATAAAAAAAAAAAAATAATAATAATAATAAAAAAAAAAAATTGTACAAATTGGTTCCAGATATTAAATAACTAGTTTTACTAGTGCGAAGGTCCATGCACTATTGAATTTAGCTCAGTGCATGGAACTTCATTGCAAATCAAAAGAAATTTGTAAAATTAATCCAATAACATTGGCTTTGCTGCAAATCTTTCCCGTAAGATTGACTTTGTTGCAAAATTTGATACCATAAAACTGATTGTGTTGCACTATTAGTTGCTCCACTAATTTTTTTGAAGGGCATGAGACCAAAATTGCAACTCAACTAAATATGTCAAACAAAATTTGCAATTTTCTCACCAAAAACTAAGAATTATTGACTGCAAAACGCATCAGGTATTGTAGGAGTTGTTTAGACAAACCTCTTCTGTCTCCCGCAAACGTGCTCGAAATCGATCCCGTTGGTTGCAAATCACCTTAAGCATAGAACTTTGATCTAGATCAGATGGAGCACGCCTTTGTTCTGAATTCTGCCATAGGAAGCATTTACCCATGAATCCTTTCACAAGAAACATTTAATTGCTATAGCTGAAATAAAATGGCAGCAGATACAAAAATACATAAGCTGGATGACTTATATGACTCTTCAATTCACACAAAAGCAACTTGATCCTCACATGAATGGCGCCTTAAGAACCTATAGCAGATGCATTCAAAAGAACCAAAGTATCACAATCAATACCACATAGTGCCTGATATTCACTTCATACTTTACGATGATTTGAATTCAAGTGAACTTTGATATAACACAAGTGAAATTTGATGTGCTATCTGTCCTTCCAATGCCATCATTTTTAATTCAATTTTACAGTAACAGTTAATCAAAATCTTATACAAGCAAACTTATAAAATATGAATGAATTTTTTTAGACTGGTCATTTTTAACAGCGATTATCTTACTGAAGTCGACAGTAAACTAGAATTATTTAACATTCTCTTGAGTCTCGCATGCAAAATTTGATGGAAAAAGTGATTTCCATTCAAATCCATTTTCGGTTAATCAACCGAGTTAAAGCAAGTTTCTATCAAGTCAATCTCAAGGAAAATAGGTTTTAATGTTTTCATATTTCTTGTGACAAATTTCTTCCAAAATGAACTACAACTAGCTGTAACTAGCTGCTCAACTACAACTAGCTGCTTTAGACGGTTCAGCAAAAATTTCCCCATATAACCTTATATGCATAATAATTCATGCATCACACAGATCAACAGTATATTAGTATATACAATAATCTTACAGCAAAAGCAGGAACAAAATCAATGATTGAAGATCAGATTGTTGAACTACAAATCATAGATGCCACATGAATTGGGTGTGATAGAAGAGTACTAAATCCAACAGCAGGGTGAAAATAACAGCACTAACATATACATGTTTATGAAAGGAACCTAGAAATGGCAAGAATGACATTCGACTTACATCAACTTGATTTATGCTTCCAGACTCCGAAAGGTCCCATTCATCCAAAACACTGCCTTTTTTATCATTGGAACTGTAACCCTGCATTTCTATATAATTAATTCAAATAATTGGTAAACTATACAAATCTTCACCACCAGAGTACATTAGCACGTCGAGATTTCTCACAGGTTGGTAAAATAAGCAAATCCACATATAAGAGTTAATTTACAGAGAAAACCGCATAGAGCATATAGTTAATGAACACCAGCTGCAGCGGGAGAGAAAATGGGGAAAATGTAAATACCTTAAGTATGTCATCTTCAAGTTTCTGGATGAGCCTCTGTTGTTCGTCGACCTGAGCTGTTAGCTCTCTAATCTTGACTTCAGCTACTTCCAGCAAATCTGACTTTTCAGCAATTTTGACCTGAGAGGAGTGGGAAGATATTGGTTACCCAACTAAATATCAATGTGATTGAATATCCGTAAATAATACCATTTTCAGCAATTGCACCACTCAGTTTACAGTACTGGTACTTTAAGCATATCCTCAAAAACAAATTCGATGCTGCAGAGCAAAGTACCTTAAACTGTGTCAGTTCATGCTCCATTTTCCGGTTCTTGTCCAGAAGTAATGATTCCAGTTTACTCATTTCTTCCCCACTTGTAGCTGCTTCCCAGTCCTCAGCCTCAATCGAATTGTAGCCCACAGCCTAGGAAAGTCATATATTGATTCACTGTCCCGCAAAATGGTAAAGCACTCATAGTGATATTCAAATTACATATACTTATACATGTTCAAATTACATATACTTATACATGCATGTATATATGAATACACTTTTTAACAACTACTTTGTTGACCCAAATTATTTTCTTACCTACTCTTTGCGAACAAATCATTTTGTGCATTAGGACATAATTGACCAAAAAGGGGTATTGGAAGAAGTGCCAAGGCCACCATAGAAACAGATGAGACCGAAAAGTTCATAACCTAACTGAAAATCCAAAGATTCTGATCTTAACATCAAAAACCTCAGACAGTCTTTTCTTCAGAAGACAATATGAATATACTCATGCTACATTCTGAGAGGATAATTTGGAAACCTGTTAATACATTTAGATCGAACACCATACATTTAAAATAACAGCTTAGCAAGTGCCTCTTTTTTAAGGATTTCACATTAATGAATGAGAAAAGAGCACTTGAGAGCAGTATCAACACAGTACTCTGTTAATATAAAACTTGGGGCATGAAACAGAGTAGAATCAAGCCTTCAAGGTTTACCAAAGTGCCAGAAAAGATATATGCAGTTCATCTGGTATTCAGAAACCTTTAATGATATTGATGTCCACATACAATACTAACTAAAGCACATGACTGATAACATGGATGCTTCCACGAGTAGTAAGCTTGACATTACCTGTAAAATTTTTACTTTCTTACGTAAATCATCAACTAGTTTCTCAGTTGGCCTGGCCTGAAGCTCTTTCTTCAACTCCTCTAGCTCAATTTCCTATGGCATATTTCAAACAAAGAAGAGGAAACAAGTAAACAAAAATAGTAACAAATCTTGAACCAAGCTAAAATTGAAAAGAAGCCAATTAAAAGTGTTTTTTCACTTTAAACATTTGCAAAGAATATCGGAAACGAATGTAAATTAAATACCTTTATAAGTTGATTGAGGTATACTACATTCGCACAAACACAAGAGAGCAAAACAAATTGCGAAATATAGTCTTTGCATGTTCCATCATAATTCATCCAAAGCACTAAGTAAACAATACACGATGAAGCTCACACCTTTGGCACCGATCTGGCTAATAGTGGGTAAATTCAGGAGTAAAACCAGCGGACTGACAAGAAAGAGAAGATTCTGGAATGAATTCGGGCTTAAGGTATCTGGGTTAATCATAACCCAATCTAATAGGACTTCATAGTTCTAGGCATCTCTAGATTGATCATAAGCCCAATCTATTGGTGCCTATACTCCATCTCATACATAACTGCAAGAAATGTAAATTATTTGAATCTGAATTCAAACAAGCATACCTTAACTAGGAAAACAATTTAATTTAACGGTTCCATCATACACACCACATTTTTACATGATTTAGTGCCTGGTCGCACAGAAACCTTAAGACTCCAACTAAACCAGGCTGCACATAAATGAAGGGAAATGAGGGGAACTTCCTTAGTTATTCCTTGCAGAGTCTGGAAAAGAACTCACTCAAAAGAATTGCATCTTTTTTTAGGGTTAAGCAACGTGACTGTGGTACTAACACCTCTATGGTTTAAACTCCAGAGTGCATACACCTAGAGGAAAGCTGACTATTTTTGATAATTTATATGCATAGCAACTTCCATACGTCTCTCTCGAACAAAAGCTCATAAGAAGTTTAAAACTATAAGGAATACCTTCTCATGGAGCATAACCTTCAAGTTCTTCAGTTCATTCAAATGATATTCCCGCTCATTAGACAGTGTTGTCTCAATTTTGTGAAGTTCCATATTCAATTCAGATATTATCTTTTCCTTTGCAATGAGGGAATTCTCCAGCATGGTACTTGCATCCACACTATCACTGTAAGAGTAACTTTTGTTAAGGGGGGGAAAGCCACATACTAACACAAAACTGGGATTAGCTCGAGCTAGTCAACCAAAAAGGGAATAGCGTTCACTAGTTAAGGCAAAAAAAGATAAAAGAAATCCAGGAATAGGCTATACTATAATAAACTGGGTTTAATCATGTTATGACAGCATAATATAGTAGTTATAATTTGTCCTCTCTCACTTGAGCAGGAGATCTAATAGGCAAAGATATATTTCAGTTGTGAGCAGCTAAAGACTAGCAATTGTTTAAAAACTCATCATTATTACAAATGCAATCATCACCACAAGGTTACAAATACTAAAAGCTTTTCCATGAATTATGACTCCATGGCTCACAGTTAGTCTTCTCTAGGTTGATACACGTAAAGTTCCACGCAAATTATTACAGCTAATTTTCCAAGGATACGCTAACCAGCTTCTTCTTTCAGCAAAAGTAAAAATACTGACTCAGGTTTGCTCACCACTTAATGTTTATCCACTTATGAATTCTTTTGGACGGATTTAATTCCTTTGATGTTCGTTGTTTGACTTTCGGTATTAGCTAGGCATTTTCGTGGACATGGAAACGAATAAGAGTTTTCAAAGTCCAACGACAACCGAAAATTTCAGCAGCCCATTGTTAGGTCACCATCACCCTATACAAGTCCAATTCTTGCCCAATTTGACTAAGGTCTAAACTTAAGCCCCAAAAGTCATGGAAATTGGAAGGGTGATAGGGCTTCTTAGGGTTGAAGAGGCAAAGGCAGGTCGTAAATAAGGGGAGGGCAGAATTCATTACCCATATTCTGTGAAGAAAAATTAAGATGACAGAGCTTCTTGTTATCTAAGGCTCATACTTCCTAAAAAGAAATTAGTTGAATTTGACGTTACAGTTGATTCAGCTCGTCTAGCGAGGGTATAAGTTGGACTATGACAGAGTTTGCTTCACATACTCATTTCATCTATATTTTCTTTGTGGTTTATTGTAGTTTTATTCATTGGGGCATAATTTATTTCAATTAATAATTACTTCATTTTTCTTTATTGCTTTTGCTGTTTCTATTGGATAACAAAAATTACAATGTCATAGCACACTCCCACGTTACCATTAATTAACAGACGAGGGTGTAGGAAAATATACATAGTAATTTGCAGTGTACGGAGCAGTCACGCACCATGTTGTTAAATTTGCAAAAAGAATCAAAATACACTAATACTAGAAATATATATGAGAACTCCTTCAAACCTTCTTTTATTTCCGCTCTCATCATGAGCTGATTGTAACTGTGACCGTAGAAGACCCTAATCAAGAATGCAACAGAAATTGTCAATTAGCAAGCAACAGCAAAAGCAAAAACTTGAAGCATTCGACAATGCTACTCTTCTTTTCAATGTTTAAGAAAGTAATGTTTCATTTCCTCTCAAATCTCAATAATAATACAATGAGAAGGTGAAATTGATCGCTGGTTGTTTAAAATCTCAAGAATATTCTAGAAACATGGAGGAAGATCACAATGAGGCAGATATAAGCTGCTGAATTTTAAAAAATATATTTTGTCTTTCACAAGTAAGCCTGTTGTGCAAGGTTTTAACCACCAGGAAATAGAATGGGTTTATCTTCATGCAGTGGTTATGTTATTCCACTAATTCGATCTACATTCTAAATGCTGCTTCCATCCACCACATACTCGGTAAAGGGAAACCTTAAGCTTTTCAATTTTCAAATGAGGTAAATGCCAGCATTGTGAACGATCATGTTGACCTTATTTAAGTTACTTGTCCAATAAGTTAAACGTTTTATAAATAATGATGTCACAAAGAGTGTAGATGAACTAAATTCCTCACAAGTATTGCATTTAATAGTGCAATCCTTCCACGTAACAATTTTATAGGCTAATGAAGGGCAAAAATCCTATCATTTTCCGAAATCATTTTATTTGAAGTATGGACAAAAATACTGGCAAACTCAGCTATTAGTTACAGTACATATTATTGGGCATATATTTGTAATAATGCTTAAATCACCGAACAGATCAAGAGTAAATAAGAGAAGACAACATTGTTCCAAAAAACTGGAAAAGAGCAGTTGCAATTTTGATATATCCATCAGAAACTCTATCTCTTCACTCTATCTAATGTACTAGACACAATTAACACTCGTTCGCCAAATCAATATTTTAGAAAAACAAAATTAAGCTTCAGGTTTTCGTGTTATGAAAATGTTCTGTTGGTCCCAACGGATATGCCCTAACTTGCAGCATTGCAAGTTTCATCCTTCAATTTTTCCTTTTTTTCAATTTTTTCCTTCGAATTCTTGTCAGAATAAAATTTCATGACATAAAGACGTCCCAGTCAACACTAAGACACTATTGTCAGGTAATGGCTAGAACAAATTCAGAGCAGTGAATATCAATAGGCAAACAGTCTGGTCACCTTCTCTCTTTCAAGACTGAGAAGGCGAGTTTGAGCTTGATCCACTTCATCCATTAGAAGATTAACTTCCGATTGCTTCGCAGCTCTCTCCTCTTCTGAGGTTACAGAAAGGATGGCATTAGGAGCTAAGATTGTAGAAGTAAACCTTTGGTACTAATTTGAACAAAGACAATGCAAAAGCCATAAACTGCTGCTAAATTGATCGTCGATGTAAATAGTAGGAAAAGGCAGAAACTAAGGTGCAGTTTGACCTGATTGGGCACGAAGCTCAAACAACTGGTTCTGTGCAAACTCATGAAGCTTTCGCATGGTGGAAACACTTTCTTGAGCTTGGCGTAATTGATCTTGCAACATTCGTTCCCTGCACCATTGCAAAGTTAGGCAATATTGCTAACCATGACAGGAAATTATTACTTTACTAAAGATAGTAAAATCACAAATAAAGTTCAACTTTCATCTCAAATCACAGTGTATATAGTACCTTTCTTTAAGAACTTCCATAGTTTTTTGATTCTCCTCGGCCAAATTGCGTTGCTTAATTTCAACAATTTCTTTCACTTTTTCCTCCATCTTAATCGAAATCAAACACACACCAATTAGCACCAACTAAATCATGATTGCTTATGCTACTTGTGTTCATGTACTGCACCATGGATGGATTATTTAAAAATATCGTACATTGAATAATACACCAGTGTTCTGAGTAAAATTGAAAACACGTATTTACATGCATTCACAATTGATTTTTGTTTTCCCCTAGCAAACCAACAAGTTTGCTAGATTTAACTAACAATTGACTGCTGATCGAAAGAAGAGTTTGCTTACCATGATATCACATATTTTAACTCCCCTGTCTGACTACATTGACGTCACCCATAGTTGTCCCATAGTTACCAAATATTGTGAAGGATCTTGTCTATGTACACAACTAAATGTCTATAGGGACTACCTATGTTCTTCCATACATTCACTTAATTTTTTCTACTTGTTACAAAAGTAGACAGGAACCATATTATGAAAGTCCAATTTGAATTTGACGTGCTAACTACTATTGAAGGTAAACCTGTTCCAGGATCTAGATCATACTGTCATATCAAAGTATTTTACTTATTTAATCTACACAGCAAGGGCAACTACACTAGTCAAGACTCAAGAGAGTAAGTACTCCTTTGTGGTCACAACAACCAATTATACAATCACGGAACATGTGAGAGAAACTATAGATACTGACAGAAAGAGCCTAACAAAATGTGATCACAACAACCAATTATACAATCACGGAACCTGTTGTTCTAACTGGCGGGTTCGCTCCTCAAGTCTTCTTATCGTTGCCTGTTGATTCTTCAAATGGGTTGATTCCGTGCGGAACTCTTCAAGCTCAACCTTCATCTTTCTATTTTCAGACTCTAGTTCAGACAATCTGGCATCCTTCTCCTGAAGAAGCAAAAAGAGACAAAGGCCCTCAAAAGAAAAATACTCACAATATGGCTTCATTGATTNCTCAAAAAAAAAAAAAAAAAAAAAAAAATTAAGAGGTCCTGGAGATCCATTACACAGGGTAAGCAAATATCCCGGTATCGATCACACTGTGAAGCTGACATTGTTTCATAGCATAAAGGAAGTTTGTGTATGTTCAGTCATAATAAACATATTTAATCTTCTGTAATTGACACAAAGAAACTAGTATCTTCAGACAGTGGTTAGTAGAAAGAGTACATACAGCAATTGAAGTAATAACAGGGTATGGATCCGGCGCTTCGTACAGTTTCTGGTAAATGTTAAGAAATGCATTTTCTCCAAATTTCGCCCTTTTGGTAAGTTTATCAACCTCTTCTTGATAACCCTTGAGTAAAGAGTTGAACAAAACCAACTTCTCTTCATTTGAAGCCTTCTTGAAGTCTGGTAGGAGTTAACTCCAAAAATGAGTGAAAACTGAGTCAGATAATTATCCATAATCTTGAGCAACTAAAGGGGATATGACCAATTGATAGTGTGACATAAGGGAAGGGAAAACTATGGAGACTTGCATGATCCGATGGTGAAACAGTAGTAAGTACCTCTAGTGCTCTCTGCAAGCTTACGACGGTTTTTTTGACTGTTTTCCTGATTTTCTGCTATTCTTAGTCCTTGTTCATCCAGGATGGTCCTTTCTTTCTCTAAATCAAAATCTGGAAGGAGACAGATGGCACATTATACAATTTGGATATCAATAATTTTCTTACTTAAAATGAACACACGCCTATACGTTCAATATAATTCACAGAGTCCAAGAATAAATAATAGAAGAGAATGCGTTCTTCACGGATAGAGGATTTTCAGAGCAGATTTCATTCCACAGCAGCTTATGTAATCTAATTAGCATCGCAGATTGATTAAAGGTGCAACAGGAATAGGGGTATCCAAAATGAAATAAAAATATGCAGCAATATACCCAGATTTATTCCAGGAATGATTAGGAAGGAAAAAGAAAAACAATGACTATCCGATGTATATTACCTAAGAAATATTGTAGAAGTCAGGCACATATGTAAAAATGAAATAATGAATGAATACAAGATCTCCATCAAACCTACCTTTCCAGAAAGTAGCAACAGCAGATAAAGGAGCAGATAAAGTGGTAGAGGACGACGATAAGTTGACTTTTTCTCTATCTGATGCTCCTCCTCCTTGTGATGCTTCCATTGCTGATCTCAATGCGCAGTCCCAATCTCTAAGTATCTATACTGTATTTAACAATTACTCTGTAAGCTAAATACATGCACTTCATTGCAAGACAAATCTACGTATTCATGGAACAAACAAAACAGTAAGCAAAAAAAAGTAAAACGATATCACGTGACTAACGGTTAGGCCATCAAACAAAAGCATATGTGCAATTTTAAAATCTATCACGGCAACGACTCTAAGCTCAAATGGTTAGGCTCATGTGTCCCTGTTTTGTGCTTTGGACTGACACATCAACATACAGACCAGGANACAAAAGTTTTTTCCTCTACAGATTTATTGTATCTATATTCATTTCATCTTTCCTTCCACATCAGTATTTTGAACAACAAAAAATAAAATCTTCCAAATTTCCTTCGTCACTCCCCCAAATTTGTTTCGTCAAAATATACAAAATATAAGAACAAATCTTCTTCTTTCCGTTCTGCGTTCAAGACTTATCAAATATATCTACTCTTTGATTAGAAGTTTCATACTATTATTCAATAACTCTGATCCAATTTTGGTGAGGGATGGCAGAATTTACAGTAGTTAATTGACGCATAAAAGCAACCCCAACAACCAGGCAAAAGTCGACACACAATTTTGCTTGATCGAAATAACAAGATCAAATCCTTACTGTAGAATCGAGATAATTACATATCAAAGAAGAAGGCTACCAAATAAAAGCAGAACAGAGAGACTTCAAACAGAAATTAAAAGCTAACAAGCGAAAAAATAAGGAAATAAATCATCGCAGGCCAGAAAGATGATGAGGATTTGATCGATAATTAGTAGCAATGACATAAAATTACCTAGGATAAGAAAAACTGAGGCGGATCTTCAGAAAAGACTTCTCGATGACCGGAATTGTACCTGAGAAAATATCCTATCGCCCAGAAATCTCTGTCCTAGACAGAAAGAGTGAGAGTGCTAGCCTCTATGGTTGTGTTGAGTAGGATGTAAATGGTACGCGCCTCAGATATGGCTCCCGCTCTCCGGGATCTTCACGAGAGAGAGTTGGGTCGAGTAAGACATGGGGAATGGTTTTAGTTGCTCACAAAAGCGACACAAAATTTTGTAAACTGAGTCGAAAACGGAAACCGGAATATTTGATTCGGTTTTCAGTTTATATTTTCATAAAATTCAGGATTTCAAAATGTCTCTCAATCTCTGTTTGTGATTCTAAAAAAAATAATCTTCCTAGAACCAACTATATTGACTAGAAAAAGAATTTTGACATTGTGTTAACTGCGGAAAGGTACCAATATTTACTCACTGAGGTTTGTTCGGATGTGCCCAGTGATGGGGCAACGGATCAGGAGATGGTAGTAGAAAATTATTTCAAAAGTGTGCGGACCTCCCCAACGGTGGACATATTTGGTAGTGAACTTAGTGCCAAGTGATGGGCCACACATAGAGTACTTTTAATTATGTTCTTCCCACCGGAGGCGCCACTTTTATTTGGACCCCATAGAGATTACAATCGTAATCGAGACCTTTTAATTGGCGGGTGACCTTCTTTGAAATGGTGGACATGAGATAGGTCGCAATGACCGCCCCATCCTCGTGCATCGCGACCTTGGAGGGTTGCTCGAGGGTGACGGTTCTGAACATCGGATTTTACTCAGGATCATTAGATATCTCAACTTAAGCCACTTAGTATCGAGAAGACTCATGGTGATCTCACGGGACTAGGCTACACCAGAAACAAGCATGAAGATTCCAGTATCTCAGAAGGTGTTGCTTCAATGATTGATGATTTTCAAACTTCAATGACCTCTAAAACGGCTCAAGCATTTATTTACACTCAAGATTCGCTTCATCATAGTCCAAGTCATGGTTCGGGTCAGAGATCTTCCTTAGAGGAGAATTTGGAATTTATTGAGGAGATTAAACAAGGTGATAAAAAATCAAAATTTTGGTTCAGTTGAATTATTGAAAAGATTAATTATTTATTTTGGTTAACCAATAACCAAACTAGCCGACTTCTGATTTTTTGATTAAAAACCAACCGAACCATAAATTTCAGTTCGGTTTTCAGTTCTTATAATGGATAAACCGAGTTTTCCGTTAATTGAAAATTCGGTCGATTTGGTTCGGTTTCGACCGAATGAGCAACCCTAGCTCATAGCCTCATAGCTAATCTAACTGGTAAGTTTTTGTATCAAAATAAATTTTGGATTGGTAGAATTATTTTTTTAGGTTATGTTTGATAAATTTACTTGAAAAATAATTGATAGGAGTCAAGTTAATTGATCATTTATAAGTGAAATTTTGAGCTTATAGATTATGACTAATAAACTAACTAATATGATAAAAGTATTGACAAAATTAACTTATAAGTTAGCTGAACCTAAGAACTATGTTTGGTAAACGTAGCTGCAAAACTAGCCAATAGTTGATAGCTTATAAGTTGATTTTGAGCTTATGAGTGTGATTGGTAAGCACCATAAGCTTCTTTATAGACATTTCAAAACGTGTTTAGGGGCAGAGCGGGGAGGGCCAGCCCGCATCTTGATGGGCCTATTACATGCCAGCCCAATCCACTCCCATTGCGGGCCACGAATCAGGCAATTCGGCCGGCAAAAAAGGAAAAAAAAAATCTACTCAAAAGGTAGAACCATTTTCTCTCACTCGTGTGTGTATATATTGAACCATTAAAAAAGAGAAACTCTCAAAGCCAGCTATTGTGCGGAGGCCTTGGAGTGGCTCCTTGGCTGGTGGAGAGGGCTTTAGTTTAGTAGTCGTTTTGGTGTTTTTGTTTGTGGTGTGTTGTCTCTTTGTTTAGTTGTATTTCTTTTGTTTAGTGTTTTTTTTTTCTTTCCTATTTGGGAGTTGTAATTATTCTNAAAAAAAAAAAAAAAAAAAAAAAAAAACAACAACAACAACAACAACAAATATTGTGATGAGGAGCCAATGAGGAGCACGCACCAGTGGACGAACAAATAGATCGGGGACTCCAATGTGTGATTGAAGCGGATGAGGGATCCATCCACATGTGCATCGCTGGCTGATTTGCAGCATGCACAAGACTAAATCTTGTAGCCACATGGGATTTCGGTAAACAGTGAGGCTCTAGTGAGGTAGTGACGGAGACGTTGGTCAGTGGAATTTTTCTCTCGTCTGTCTTGGAATTAGGTTAGATTCAATTTTTTGAATTTTGATCTTAGCTTTTGACAGAAAAAAGATGAGAAAAGTAAAGTGGCCTCTATAGCGCCCGCTTACTTTTCTTTCTAAAACACTAAATTTTCAAAATAATTTGAAGTTTTAAAACATATTTTTTAAAAACTCTTCTCGGGCACTACTGAAATAAAATCTCTTTCTTTTCTAATCTTACTAATATTGTTCTTCTTTTCTTTAAAAATAATTATACTTAAGTCTCTCACTTAAGTTTTTATGGGAACTCTCTTCCTAACAACTATCTTAGCTTTGTGTGGAAATGCTGTCAGACGCAGAGGTATAAATATCCAAGCAGTTAGTTGTGAAGCATTTGGAAGAATTGTCACATGTTCTTGAGGTCAAGCATCACAAGAAAGAAATTTTGCAATTATCTCGAGCTTCGTGTCTTAATACTGTCATAAGGCTCATTTTTAGCATGCATAGGACAAAGGAGTTTCTTTTGCTCGGCAACAGAAAGCCTAGTGTATGCAATGCAGTAAATGAGGCATGATATCTACTATCATTGTGAGCATAGTTAGTAGATCTCGAAGTAATCCTAGACGGGTGCATTAAGTTCGTGGTGAAACATATAGTTAAGTATCATAAAAGAACTAAGGATAATATGTTCGTTTACCAAACAAACAATATGCAGCCTATGGGTTATAGAGAATTCTAATTTCTAATCAGACGTGAACAACAAATAAATCTACCTCAGGATTTGTGTTTACTTGTGAGGAGGAGCCAATAGTTTGGAGGAATGTCAAGCATAAAACATTGATGGATTCCACCAAGTAAACTCAGTACGTCGCAGGCTGAAGAGCAAGCGATGGAAGAGGTTTGACTTCTAGAACCTCTATTAAATCCTAATTTGCCCAAGTCAGGTCACAACTTGATTGTGATGACAGTTGGTGCAGTTGCAAACAAAAAGGAATCACGAGTTCATAAGGTAAGTAAGCACATAGAGCTAGTACGACCCGTTGCGAATAATCGGAAAGGGGAAGATGTTTTGTTGCCTAGTTACGTCAGTAGACGATCAAATAGTTCTTTTTAGAAGTGGCTTTTTGGAAAAACCAGATAATAAACATGTTAAGGAATTCAGAGACAGATGTACGGCAGTTAAGACAACATTTCCTTGAGAATAAAGATTAAAAGAGTGTATACTTAGAATAGCCGAGAGTTTTAAAGTATAAGTGGGAGATCGTTGGACTATAATGTGGAAGCTCGGCTTTGTGATTACTCTCAATTCCATTTTCAATGAGATGTGTGTTTTTAGTCAAGTATATGTTTGTAGTTTATTAATTTATGCGAACATAGTTCCTTTATTTTATATTGTAGATAATATAGTTCAATACAAAAAAGATCATATTGTCGGTGCCTTGTAAAATATAAATATTTGTTCATAGCCTAGACAAAATTGAATTAATTATCGTGAAAGGTCATAGTGTGAACTTGAATTAGTTGGGCTTTGACTAATTAATTACACTAGTACATCTAGGATGTATTGGACGGGCCTACGGAGGGTAATATTATTTATACTGATCAAGTAAATAATCGAGACGCAGTAATTGTTGTGTTCTCTTAACCCCTAACACAATAAAGACAGGCATGTGCATTCAGTACTTATTTATTTGGATTTTCATGTGTGAGACCTATTCTGGTGGGTCTAGGTCGACAAACTCCGTATATTGGTAAATAATGCCGTGTATATGATGTGTTGCAGAAATTGTTTATGGCCACTGTATCCTGGTTCGCCGGGTTGATGACGTCCCTGAAATGAGCTCATGAAGGATTATTATGTCAAACATTTCCGGCGTATTAATTTCTGACATAATAATAAAGAATTAAGTGGTACTAATTTTGGATCAAAAAGTTGATTAAGTATATTGTCAGTAATTAAATTAATCAGCAGACGTTGGATCTTAAACATGGGGAGGTAAATCGAATAATTAGTCGGTAGACGTATTAATTGTAATTCAGAGCAAAATAAAGAGTACATTAATATTTTTATAGTGATATTTAATATTATTCGAGTATGAGCAGAGTGGGATCGGCCCATAGTTAGGCCCATACTTGAGAGTCCATATTTAGCACCTCCTTTGGGTATCTGTTGTAGCCTATAAAGTCTCATAGCCTCCAAGAATAGAGAATTCTACACGTCCAAAATAATGTGGAGATCATGAGTTCTTCTCTTGAGAAAATTCAGATAAAATCAAGAAGTCTTAGAAGAGAAAAATTGTGAGGTTTTAGGAGATACGATGAGTCGTTCTCCACGACGAATCATAACAGGTGATCGGTTAGAAGACCCCGAGGTATATATTTACATCTCGACAAAAATATATTTATCCTCAGAAACAGCAAGGAGCCGTCGGTGATCAACCCTGATCATCAGCGACAGCCCCGCATATCCAGTAGCCACCGCGGGTTCAGCGACCTTCACCGAGCAGCACCGAGCAGACGTGCACATCATGGCGCCCCAGCGCTCCCGCGCACAACGCACCCCAACAACCTAGCGGATGTCTCGCCCTGAAGATGCGTGTCCGCTTCCGTGTCCCGAGCGATGTGCATCCGTGTCCTAGGCAAAGCACGCTTGTGTCCCAAGCGAAGCAGGTGGTGTGCGTCCGTGGCCCTACGACGCAGTGTGTACAGGTCTGGCCCAGCGATGCAATGTATGGCCCAACGCGGCCCAACAAGTAGTAGCGACACCCTTGCGAGATCCAGCAAGCGCAACATCCGTCCTAGGCTCAGTAAGCGCAACACCATGCATGGTCTAGTCCAACGCATGGCCTAGCAACACGGTCCAACTAGGCAACGCCTAGTCCACTGAAGCAGTCCAACTCCCAATGCACCAGTGGGTCCATGACTAACCCAGGATGGTCCGACATGAGTACCAAGTGACTGGGAGATATCAAAGGGACTGAACGACTCGATGAGGCTCATGCAATCTCCATCAACGGAAATAAAAAAACATCTCAAAGTTGACAAAAATGTTAAACCATAAGTCCTGATCTTAACTATAGATTCTGATGCGTTAGGATTTATTTTAAATAGATTAGAATGTATATCGAGAATGTTCATCATAGAACCCAACATACCAAGCTACGTACTCACTCGAAGACTCATTTTCACGATGTTGCATGTTGATCAACGTAAGGTAGGTCTTTTTATATTTCCTTGCACTAGAGAATTGGTTGATGAAAAACGAGCTAAACACGTCAAAGCTATAGATCGACCCAACAGGTAGTTGTTGAAACCAATCCCGAGTCGAGTCCTTCAATGTCGTTAAAAAAGCTCTGCAACGAAAAACATCGCTGCATCGATTTAACACCGACACATTCTCGAAGATCCTCAGGTGCCTAGCCGGATCTGTAGACCCTTCATAGACCATGTTTGGTTTCCAGAAGTTAAGAGGTAGATCTGCGTCCAAAACATAATCGGAGAAATGATGGCCTTGAACCCGTGGTTGTCGTCTCCCCTCCACCTTGGCCTGGAGCTCTCTGAATTGACTGGCCATACGCTCCCCAAGGTGACATATCAGGGTGGTCTATTGACCATCAGAGACACAATGGACATTTCATCATCCTTTTCTCGCTTTGAGGTCACTGGAACATGCTGCTCCACAATGGGATTGGTTGTTGCAACATCCACTGTCACAACAGGTTGCTCCACCATCAGATGAGGTGTATCACTTGCTCACCTCCCCTCGACAGAGATCCTCCCTCACCCGTTGGGATGACCACCTTCTTCTCTTTCACCTGGTCTGAGTTCTTCTTATCTACCTCCGGTGTCAAGACCTGATTCACTCCCGGCAAACTGATCCTAGAAGTAACCAACACTCCTTCCCCGCTAGACCATCCCGACAGTGGCCCAACTCCAAAAGGTGTTTTGGCCACCCACACTTCCTCCAAACACTCATCAAGGTTCTTTCTCTAGTTTTCGTTCGCCATAGTCGTCTTCTCCATCTTAGGTCCCTCTGAAAATGGTAGATAAATAATAATGTTCCCATATAAGGCGCCAATTGATGTTCTGTCGCACATCGAACTGCCTCTACTTTGTCTTCACACCGATTTGCTCCTCGAAGACCTGCAAAATACACCGGAAGGTGTTCCCGGCGTAAAACATCTGTTAGTGAAGAGTTACGAAAGTTTAGAGTTTAACCTCCTATATTTAATACCTCTTACCTATTTAAATCAAGTCCTTGGCTTCTTGAACAAGCTTTGCCTTACCCAGCTACCCGTAAACCTAGCCGAGACCCATTTTTATCCGTAGGATCATATAGATCATTTCAATATAGCCCTACACGTGATCCTTGTTTATCCTTCCCCATAGGTTTTCCTACTTTCTTAGCTCCTACAAGCCCTCCTCTAGACTGAGTCTCCCTAAGTCGGTCTATATCACATAATTCCCCCCCACCTATTAAACATAGTTCTTCCCTTTTGCACATTCTGTCCTAGCTGTTACACTGTCCGATCTATTGAGATACTGACACCGTTCTACCTTAACTATTATATGTCCGAGCTACTTTAATACTATATTGTCCTACCTACTATCATAATACGTTGTCTGAGCTACTGACACTATGATATCCGAACTACTACACTATGGTGTCTGAGCTACTTAGAATCCGTTCACCCGAGCTAGTTGAAACCCCCTAACCCGAGCTATTTTAGGACTGACTAACTCGAGCTGGTTGTAGCCGGTTTATCCGGGCTACTCTATGTTATATAACGTTTGAATAGTAGTTGAAACAAGGGTATCTGAGCCATGAAATTTCTACTTTGAAACTCGTATCTATATATTCCTAATCACAAATAAATAATCAACAACTTGAAAAGAATGGCAATTCATCCTTGGTTAAATATGTGGGGTCAATTGGATCAATGTTGATTGCGTCCAAAAATGGTTCAAATACCCCAAACCCAATGTTGCACCTGGAGTTGACCTGACCTTACCTTACCTTACCTGGGCCGAATTTTATTAATCAATGGATTTGGACAACAAAAACACCTATTTCAAATTTCGCACAGCTCCACCACCACCACCCGTCCACGCAAATTCTTATTTAAAAAATCAATCTGAAAAAGAAATATAACAAATAAATAATTGCAATCATTCATAAATAACAAAACCAAAGAAAGCGACAAAAAAAGAAAAGAAAAAAAAAATTTGAGTATACAAATTCAAAATTACACAACACAATTTATTCATTTTCCTCACACAAAGACAAACAAACCATCAACAATCTAAATCTCCCAATGGATAATCTTCTACTTCTTCTTCTTCTTCTTCTTCTTCATTCCTCTTTCCTTCTCATCCAACTCGCCGCCGCCCAAAGCCAATCCCTAGACAGCAGCAACAGCAGCAACAACTTCCAGCCGAGCCTAGCAGTCGTCATCGGCATGCTGGCCGTCATGTTCTCTCTCACCTTCGTCCTTCTCCTCTACGCCAAGTTCTGCCACCGCCCCACTAACTCCGACCCGGACCGAACCCGGCCCGACCCGACCCGCACCACCCTCTCGAAGGAAAACGGTGTGGACAAAACCGTAATCGAGTCCCTCCCCTTCTTCCCGTTCTCGACCCTCGGAGGCCTCAAGCAGGGGCTCGACTGCTCCGTCTGCCTGTCCAGATTTGACGAACCTGACATCCTTCGACTGCTTCCCGGCTGCCGACACGCGTTCCACGTGGACTGCATCGACCGATGGCTCCACTCCCACTCCACCTGTCCGCTCTGCCGCCGCCACGTCAGCGCCGATGACTTGGCGCTCATCGGCGCCGACGTTTTAGAGCTTTACGTCGAGAGGGAGGTTGAGAATAATAATCGGAGCCGGAGGCTCTCGACGAGGTTTAGCTCGATCGGGAGAAGCTTCCGGAAGCTTTTCGACCGGCGAGAAGAAGATGACGATGATGAGGAGAAGCAGATAGGGATTAATCATCATCGTCATCATAAGTTTAATCACAGGATTAGTTTTGATTTGATGATGAGGAGCCGGTGGAGCAACGTCTCGTCTTCGGATTTAGTGTTGCTTAATGACGTGGAGAGGAAAAACGAGTTTGAGATTAATGATTGTTCTTCGATTTTTCAGAATGGGGAGAAGAGATCGGTTTCGGAGATTGTAGTCTACCCGAGGCTAATGAACGAGATTATCGTAAGTAGTAGCAATAACAACTCGGCTAGTGTGAATGAGGAAAGAATGAGGAAATTGTGGATGCCAATCGCCAAAAAGACTGCGCGCTGGTTCGTAAATAGGGATAAACGGCCGACTCAAAACGTCGCGGGTTAATTTAATTTTAAGGAGTTTTTATTTGGCGGTCAATTTTGCTTTTGCAGCTGATTTGTACGTGTTGAGATGAGAGGGATTGAAGAAGAATGCATGTTTGTGTTCATGTAATGTAATCAATCTTCCACTTCTCTCCTATACATAAATTTTATTTTTTTGCTTCAGAGATGAGAAGGAATATGTTTGTTTATTTTTTGAGTGATAAAATTATTCTAGTTAAATTAAATATATAGGTTAAATACAGGATAAATATTTTTGAACGCAACATCTTATAATTAATTTACTACATATATTTGAACTACTATCTGTACCGAAAGAAAAAAAACTACTATATATCTGTAAAATCATATTGAAATATGGAATATATCCATCACTTTCTTATGAATCCTTGCTTCCTTGGTCGTGCAAACTGGAAAGGAAACTATTATTTGTGCTTGACTTTTGTGATGAATTATTTAAACTAAAATATACTTTAGTTTCATGTCCCATGTATTCATCATGACTATTTGAACAATTGTAATTGACTTTCTAACAAATTACGCTCCAAGCTGTAAACAGTGAACACACTTGCTATGGTTAATTGAATTTCATATTTATATTTTCTAAGTAATATTTCTTCAACATTAATTAATTACGAAAAAAAAGAGTATAATACCAACCTAAGTCTACTCACAAGCAGTTTCTACATGGAGAGAGAGGGGANAAAAAAAAAAAAAAAAAAAGAAGTTGAAATTTTAAGTTAGCTGTCCAAGATGGCATTGATTTGTAATAATAATTATCCTGTTAAGGTGATGGGAAAACAAAACCTACCCCATAAATGTAAGTTCGAGAGTGTTACATTTGGCAACAAGTCCTAATCAGGATTAAATATAATAAGATCATGCCCCGTTCATGTTACCCAATAATTCACGATTTTATTGTATCACGCAAAGTCTAAATCAACCCCGGCATGATCTTATTTATTATTTTTTTTTGTGAATTATACGAATCTAGCCTGCATGTTCATTGTTATTAATTCTACAATAAAAAAACAAATTTGAGCTGAGTGGCCTACGGTGTAGATGTAGTTACCGCATGATCCTTGTGAATTTTATTTTCCTAAAGATACGAACCTTTGATACGAATAGACAATTACCATTATTGCAAACTAGTGCGTGGCCCGTGCGATGCATGGGAAAACAATATTACGATTGTATTATAAATTAAATATATAAATAACATTAATCATGATTTATCCATTGTTTTTAAATTAAACCGGGTTAGACACAGTCCGACCGGATGGACCGAGAACCAGTTTATAACCAGTCTAGTTCGATTAAATAAAATATTTGCTCTCGAATCCGTCCACACCAGGATCAATACGATTTTCTAAATAATTTTCGTTATATTTAAAATAATTTTAAATAAAATTACATATTTAAATAAAATAGAGATTTACAAATTTTTTATCAACTAGTTTAAACATTTGAATTTATAAATTGTTTAGATATCTAAATAACACATTTTATTTAAATTTATTACAAAAAGTATTATATATATATATATATATATATATATATTAAAATATTTATAAATTAAAATCTGAACAAACCAGAAATGATTTAATAAAATAGCTTAATCGTTTCGATGACGGTCCAGTTCTGAAAACCTTATATTTTCTGTACATTAATAAATATTATAATAAAATATTATTTAATTCACATAAATATTAATAAAATGATATATAAATATTCATAAATCATTAAATATATTGTCATAAACGTACTGTTAATACGATTATTTGAAGTTTGGACTACATCACATTCACGTAATAAAATATTTTCAAATTAAAATTTATATTTATGTTCAATAATTGATTTGGTGTGGTCGAACTGGTACATAACTTAGTCACCTGGGACCAACCAAGCTGTGTCAAGTTTTTTGACTATTTTAAATGTCACCTAAAAGTAAATCAATCAATTTGGTCAGTACCCTAATTCAATAACCCGATTGATCCGAAAAAATTTTCTTATTTTCTTTAAATATATTTAATTTTATGAAATAAAAATATTTTATGATTCATATAATAAATGTCTACACTAAATGATAGTATATTAAGATTATAAATCATATATCTAAAAATAAATTAATTATTTTTACTTTATGCATATTAATAAAAAATAAATATAGTAATTTTCAAAAAGTTAAGATTAATTGATTGATTATGCAATTTAAAAAATATTTTTAGCGTTCAATATTTTTTTTTAAAGGCACAAATATAAAGATCGGGATTCTAAAACTTTTGTTATATTTTGATTAGATTTTATAAATATATAGACTGAGATTTTAATGTTGTTCGTTGTTTCTAAGAATAAAATAAAAATAAAAGCATACACACTTAATAAATCTTAGCCGAATTTTCTAAATAATAAAATAAATTAAAGCTCGAAATTTAAGGTAGCATTTAATGCTGTATGATTTTTAAATAAAAAAAATAAGAAAAAAATATTAAAACTTACTATTTATAGGCTGCATTAAATTCTGACTATTTTTTGCTACTATTTTTTAAAAATGATAATTTTTATTATATATATAGATTGTATAAATACATAATTATTTTTTTTTTGAAACCTTGGATGATATTAAAGTTGAATTAATTTATAGTATTATTTTTGCGGCAAGCATAAAAGATATTTATTAATTATATTTTCCCTACTCAGGCTTGCTTCCCGCAAAAGATGATATATCTAATTCTTAAGCAAAAGGCGGCTACTTCCAATTTCAGATATGTGTAGACAAATTGGCATGACGACAGTGCATTTGAATAAAACTGATAGAGACGATTGATATCACGTAAATTTCATGGCCAAGTATAAACAAAAGTATGATAGAAGATATAAGCATATACATACTTGTGGATAGGGCCACGATGTCATTTTGTGTTGTTTTTTCCTATTACGATGTACTACTGGCCGTCTTTTATTTCTTGTTTATTTGAGAGGGGCATATTAATTAGTCCGACGAAGTGTTCTGAATATCATTCTAACAATTATTGTGGTTCAACTGGTTTAATCGATTTTTCTTCTTATTTTATTAATTTAAATAAAAATATCAATGAAATATATTTTATATAAAAAATTTATATAGAAAACCAAATTGATTGTTATTTAAACTAATTAAAAATTAAACAAGAACACAAACATAAAGACATTTAATTTAGAACTATAATTTTATGTAAAAATATTAATATAAAAATAATAGAGAAAATCCGGTATTTACAAGTTTATTTACTGTTATTTTTCAGTTTAACCTTTATTTTGTCTATGAAATAGGATGAATTAGTATTATGGAGAAAATGATATTTAGAGGATAATTGTATTGGTTCGACCATCGGTATCCAATATTACAGGTATTGTATTTTAAAGGGTATTTTAAACCGTGGTTAGACGATTTTGTTTTTTATTCAATAATTAACACTTTCGATGATGTGCCAATTAATTTGACGCGTATTGGATTACGCCAATTGATCCTCACACGTCGGCCTCCTTTGAGCTCCGATACTTGTAATTAGCTGGGAGGGGGTTCCAGCATAGACACTCTGACGCTCAAGTGAGAATCGATAGAAAGTAAACAAAAAATATATGAACTTAATGGGAGTATATGCGATAAAAATAACATAGAACCTGCTTACCCTTATATAGGGTGAATAAGAGTCCTTGATGGGAAAGAAATCTGACCAAATCTTCTTTCCTAACTTACCAGGCAAGTCTTCTAAACAAGCAATATTTCTCATCTTACCAGGATTCTTTCCCCCTTGACCAGTAGGTCTTAACCATGACCTTATGACCTTCCTGTTGTAAGACCTTGGTATGCAAAAGACCCCTCTGTATTTGGTCTGACTTCAAGCTCCTCTCCTTGGTATGCAAAAGACCTCTGTGAGTGTGTAGCGTCTGCTCTTTTACTTGATCTTGAGGTCGACCATCCATTAGGTTGTCTTGCTGCTGCGTGACGACGCTTTGGACCGCGATTAACCCTTGTTCGACCGAAGCATATGTACTTCTCTGCGCGATCACCAACTTCTTGCCTGTCAGAGGTTCTGTCATAGCTCCTTCCACCGGAGTTATCGCTGTGTGGGGTGCCGGTAACGTCTCCCGAGGTGTGATCATCGTGTCCATCGACATCAACCAACCAGGTGGAGGTCCTATCCCCATCGCCCAGGATACCCAGGCCTCATCCATATACTTCAGTATTTTTTCTTAGAATTATCTGTTGCCATGACCTTCGGATTAGTAAGCTTGTTGTGAGAAAATCCGATTAGCCCATATAGCCGTTAAAAGATTAAGCCAATTAATTCTCACACGTCGGCCTCCTTTGAGCTCTGATGACCTTTAATGCACTAGGAAGGGGTTCAAGCGTAGACACTTCAACGCTCAAGTCAGAACTGATACGAGAGTAAACAAAAATATATGAACTTAATGTTGGTATATGCTACAAAAATAACATAGAACTTGATTACCTTTATATAGGGTGAACGCTCCGATGCGCAAGAGAGACCTTCTTAGGAAAGAGATCTGACCAGATCTTATTTTCTAGCTTACCACGTCTCTATCTGGACAAATCTCCTTAACAATCTATACTTTCAAACTACCAGAATTCTCTCCCCTTCACCATATTACCTTGAGGTCCCTAGGTCTTAACCATGACTTCTTGATCTTCCTCCTATAAGACCTAGCACCTTGCAATCTCGATACCTCGAGGTCACTCTTTATATCCGAGCTCCTGGAGGTGGTTACCTCCAGGTCGTGCTATTAGGTTATCCAGTACCTTGAGCTGCGTCTGCTAGCTCCTTGAATGGGTTAGTTTTCCTTCATCGAGCTAGAGCTCGACCAACCTACCCCAAGCTAACCAATCATGTCGGTCCACCGAGGTATTCTGAATGCTACATCATTTGGTATGGTAGGATTGGGGTTTTTGAAGTTTTAAAAAACCTCAAGATTAAACGAAGTTCATCGTCAATTTAAATTTTAAAATTCCGGTATTGGTTGAGTTCAACACCTGTTGTTAATATAGGTTGCCAAAATCATATTTTACCTTTCTCTAATCTTGCACTTGAGGTTTTATTATTGGTTTGGAGATTGAATCATCCTCTACTCTTCCTCTATTCCATTGAATAACATTATCTTGATAAGCTTTTATATTCCTCCTAGCTATGAAATGTAGTCTCAGTCTCCATCTTAGGATATAGAGTATTGAAAGTAAGAAATAAAGTTTGTGTACCAAATATGCATTTCTCCCTTGTGCCCGCTCAATCAATCAGAACAATATGTGTAAGAAAAAAAAAAAACAAGTTTCATAAACTTATTAATCCACCATGACCCTCTGAGCCAGGTGGCGGAGCCCGTTCTCCAGATCCCCTAATGTGATCGTCAGCAGCTCGTCCCCAGTCGAGCTGAAATCGAGCCTCGCATCCAAACACTCCCTCGCATTATTCAGCATGTGGTCAACCAATCCCCCATTCAGCTTGCTCCTCAGCTTCTCGGTCGAGCACCTCTCGATCACAGCAACAACTGCGTCTAACGTGCAAGACGGGTGCAGCCTGAACCCGAACAGCCGGCTCTTCTCGTCCGCTTTTCGCATTTTGATCATCAGCATCTCGGCTAGGTCACGGCTGCTGTAGTCGTCAAAGTCGAAAAAGTGGGTCACGCGCCTGCAGAAGCCCTCGTTTGAGGAGAAGACGCGCCTCATGGGCTCGGTGTAGCCTGCGAAGACGACTACAATCTCACCGTCTTCCAGCACGGACATGATCTCCTCCAGCGCCTCCACACCGTAGTCTTGGGTGTGCCCTGCCCCTTGCTGGGGCACCAGACGGTAGGCTTCGTCCACAAATAGAATTCCACCCATCGCCTCGTCAATCTGCATAATGCATCGAACAAACTTTTTTCGTGATTAATTACGTGATTTATAGACATTTTCCCATTTCAAAGAAGTAGAAATGGTTTCATCTATCGTTTCGGGAAAAAAAAAAGATGTAAAAATGGTTTTTGCATATATGGTTTCTGCATCTTCCAAAAATGAAAAATGGCTAGAAATCATTTTTTTTTTTTTTTTTAAAAAAAAGTAGCATTTATCATATTTCGATTTAGGAAATGGTTAAAAGGTTATATTAACACAACATAAAATTCTCAGTGTCGAGAAACTTTAAGAGTAGGCCTTTTTTTCAACTAGAAATAATTCAGAGATATCTATGTCAAGTCAAAGCATCCGTAACAGATTATCACTCGACAAAAATGCAGTAATTATGAAACTAAACTATACGGATGTATCAGATTATATATTCTTTTGCGATTAAATGGGTCAGCCAGCAAGTGAGTGAAAAAAATGACAACCTTTTGCCTTGTCTTCGCTCCAGTTTGTCCAAGATACTCTGCCACCAAATCTGTTCTCTGTACTTCCGTCACTTTATCAGAAGAAAGTACTCCAACCGAATTCATTAGTTTGCCTAGTATTCGTGCAACAGTGGTCTTACCTGCTCAACCAGCATAATCCACAAAGAAACAGAAAAAACTAGTGTAAAAGTGCAGACATGTATACACCGATTTTCCACATTTGTATTAAAAGATAGAGAATAAAAAAAAAAAAAAATTGAATGTCACTACACCTGTCCCTGGGTTTCCAAGGAAGGCCATGTGAGGTGCTTTTCTCGGGCCAAGGTTTATCCCCATGGCCCGGCGCCTCTCATCCAGGAGCATTCCTTTTGCCCATTTTCGGAGTTGCTCCTTGAGAGGTTTCAGCCCAACTATTTGTGAAAGCTCATTGTCAAATTCTTCAAGCTTTCCCTGTATGCCGTTGTCATAGTTCTTCGGCTCCTCATTGAGGTAGCTTGTTGAGGTGTAGTAGTTACTTGTGTTGAATATGTTGTTATTCTGTTGTGCACCATTTTGGTAGTAATAGCCTGTCGTGTTGTTAATCTGCTGCATGAAATTGTTGACTTGTTGAGTGAAATTATTAATATGTTGCGTAACGTTTTGGCAAAGCACCTGCAGCAACTCTTCATTTTGTACGCCCGCCGGTAGATAGTTGAAAGGCATCATGCCCTCCTGTCAACCATCAAAGTG